TGAATGACAGAAAAAAAAAAAATCGAAAGATATATATTTTTTCGAATTATATGATTCGCATTGTATCGATACTATTAACAATATTAATGTTGATCCTGAAAATTATGTGTTTTCCGGCCACGGAACGACAAGCACATGCAAATATAAACAAAAATTGGGGCAGATTAATTAATAAAAAAACTCGTACGACAATGATTAACGATTTACGTTATTGTTATAAATAAATTCTAGATAACGTATTGTTTTCAAGTTTTACGTATAAGATTTCGAAAATTTAAAGAAAAAAGAAAATTAATGCATCACAATTAAATCTATAATATTAAAGTATAAATAGACATAAAAAAAAAAATTTACAGAATAAATTTATTATTTATTTATATGAAGAACGAATTTTATTTGATTTTATCTAGAACCTCTTTGATCTATAATAAAATCAATGACCCTTCGTACCGGGGACACGCTTCTCGAACGGTGTCCTTCATCATCTGAGGAACCACCATTTGTGGTTTCAGACTCATTTGTGGATGTTCTGCGCGGCCGGCGGCGGAAGATTTTATCCTAAATAGATAATAAATATTAGTATTTAGTGTGTAAAAAGCGCATAATTAATGAGTTGATCCACATACCACAACACTTTCTGCACCAAACCTTGCAGCAAATCCTCTAACAAATTCCTGACTTCGATATTCCCAAAGGGCAAAGGTTTGTGCCAAATCATTTTTCAATTCTGAAAGGTCATTGCTCAGCTCCACTTTAGTTCCATGCCAATTTTGATGGATGGTGGTGCGAATTTCAGAGATAGACCTTTTCATGTGTAGCTCTTGCTCCTATAAAATAAAGGACAGTTTATTTATTTTATTTTATTTTATTTTTATATATATTTTTTTTTTTTTTATTTTTTCTAATTTTTTATATTTATTTTTATCATACCTTAAGAAATCCAATGTTTAACTCCTTGGGGGAAACCCCCCGTTCTAAATTGCGTCGCACATATTGATCGTAGTCTCGTACTATACGAGTTATGAGGTCGGAAGTCGAGATTCCGTTTGTGCGCTGTGTGGGAAGAAAACGCCCCTGGTCTTTAACAAACGCATACACATCGGCAGTGTCATTGGAAGCATAAGGAATATCGTCGTGGGCGACGTAATCAATCTAAAATAATAATCTTAATTAATAAAGTATTTAACTAAATTTTGAAAAATTTTATAGCTGCATACATTATACTTATCAATAAATTCTTGGGTTACTACCCAAGGTGCATGTTCTATAACTTCATCAACCCATTTACAATGGCGCAGTGATTCTGCGCGTTCACGCTCATTAAGCACGGTTTTTCCTTTTCTGGTGTGGGTGGTGTCATCGTCACACACTTTTATAATTTATAAAAAATAAATAAATAATATTTACAACAATCATATATGAATATAACATTATACATACCTCCCACAAGCAAATATACATGGGCGAAAGAAGTTTTGGCTTGTTCCAACGATTTGGCATGGCCAAAGTGGAACAAGTCATATATTCCATCGCAATATATGCGAACGGGCCTATCGGTTGGTGGTGGATTGATTTTAAACGGGCGTTCTTTTAATGTTTGTGTCGTCTTGCTTTTCTCCCGTGCAGACGTTTTATTTTCGCGTGAAGATTGTTGAGTTGGGCTTGAAGTACCGTTAATTCCATCATTTTTAGATCGTTTTGCTGGAGAAGAAAGGACATTTGTAGAATTAGCGGAAGACTCAGATAAAGACGTATCTACAGTATCTTCTTCGGATGTATATACAGAAGAGTCGGTGTTTGCATTCTTTAGCTTGTTATTTGAAATAATGTCCTTCTCGTAGGATGGTTCTTTTCTCTTTTTGTTGGTGTAAGACATATTTATCTTTATGTTATTGTAGCAAGTATTTCTTAAAGCTATCTTATCAGCGAACAAGAAAATTATTTAAAAAATTAAGTTCGGTTAGAAAAGGTGGTCAAATGATATCTATGGAATGTATCTAGTTAAAAATAAAACAACTTTAAAAATTGTACTTGTACAACGAATATGATAAGAGAGAGTAAGAGAAAGAAGAAAATTAGTTTGAGGACCCAGAATAAAGATCGGTTTTATCTAACTTAAAATATGTAACACAAGAGTTTCAGTTAACATTCTGAAAGCACGTGTTAATGCGACGCCTCTGAAAATCTTACCGGAGATTGCCCAATGGTCGGCCACCACAGGTTTGTTTTTTATTTACTCAACTGGGTCTTGTAACGGTAACATGTCATAATTAACGTTAATAGCCTCCTTGCGTCGGCAAGAATCTAAAATGGCGTTAGTGCGTATCATGACAAGAAACTAAACCGGACGCTTGCTCGACCTAAATTAGAACGATTTGCATACCTCTGGTACGTAAATGTAATATCTGATATCGATTTCTTAGTTAGTAAATACGTACGATGTGACGCTACCGCTAGATGAATTGCATCATATGTACGTACCTCTGGGGCTGTTAATGGAATAGTCCAGAGTATACCATATCAGAATACTATTCCGTGTTATCCATGTTAAACTTTATATAAATATAGCATAATGTATTATATATATATATATACTTTTTAACGTTAATACATATCGATATCTAGAAATAATTTTACTTCGTAGTATTAATAGTAGCTCTGGAGTATAAACTACTTTCTGTAATCTAGACTCCTAGATTACTCCAAATGTCTGCTAAAGCAGCTAATTAGTTATAAATCAAAAATTCGATAATAATTCAGTTCCTGATACAACATATCATTATCACTTTGCCTACCGATAAACTTTAGAAATTTATCGAATTATAAGGATCTCACCCGTATCCAAGTATCTTAAACAGAAAGTATGATTAGACTTTTTTAATTAAGTACGACCAAAACACAGTGCGTGTGTAATCTTATGATCGTAATAACTAATAAAATTGTGTGATACCAGTTATAAGATAACGCCAATTGTGCGGAATTACATCGGCATATGTAAAGTTCTAGAAATTTTAGCTTAGTTGCTACGTATATCTCAAAAATTACGTAGCCAACTGGTACGATATGTAGCTGTAATATAGCAATTATAAATAAATTGAATATTTAAAGTTTCAT